CCAACTGATGGCCAAAATGACCATGCCTTGTATATATTTTTTTTTCTCAAGAAAATTTGAGGAGTGGACCTGTAGTGGGAGTCAAATTGGCAGTTTTCAGATTCACCTTTTAGAATACTCATTTGAAAATGTTGATAACATAACTTTTACTCAATCAATATACTTCTATCTAATAACCGACAATAAAGACATGACTAGTACGACATCATTGAAGGCATTCCCATTTACCAGTCTCCGTTATGGGCATGACCTTAGAATAAGATGTTATGAAGGTTGTAATCACGTTTACTTCTCCCGATTAGACTTGTTTGAGATAGCTGTATTGAGATTATTCTACTATTGCTCTTCCAAGAATGGTTGATACCGCGCCAACAGATGGATTGCTTGGGCCAAAAATGGCTTATTGTCTGCCTCTTCATGGGCACCTTTCTTGCTCCTTTTTTTGTGTTCAGTCACAATTAATCCACTTGATTTTTTTTATTTGACCAGTCTCTCAAATGTCGACAATTCTGTGTCATGCATGTGATCTCTATGAACCACACAATATTTTGCAGTTTCTCTAAGATATGCTCCCACTCTTATGGGTGTTGAATTCTCGAATATATATTTATCATATGGTCTAGCTCAAGTACCCCACTTATCGTGGGGTAATCATCGGGTGTTGATGGAGGAGAGTCTTCCGCTCGTCCCTTTGGATAGACTTTTGCTCGTCCCGTCAAATGCTCTCTCATTGTGGCATAGCCTGACAGAGATTTGTGTTTCCTTGTTATGGATGACGATCTTTAGTGTTTGCTCAAGTGTTCAAGTCCTTCACTGGCAGTATGTGTGGTTATGAAAAATGTGTCCTTTCTATTTTTTAATTTTTGGATCAAATTTTATTGTCGCCTAGACCTTGTTGGAAGGTCCGCCTTGTTGTAGTGTCTCCTAGCACATAGGTAACTTGTGGTAGAGCACGTGCTGCATTGCTGTATTAGTCAATGCCAATATGAGTGTTGAAAAGTTCCAATAACTCTACCAACTTATATGGGTGTTGCAGGTTGAGGACATTCTTGAATGTTCCATCTCACAAGGCTTGCATGAGTCGACTTGGGACACTATAAGTTTTAAATTATTGACTTGCAGCATCTCTCTTCAAAATCCCACAATCAAGTTCTTGAAGGACTCCACCAACTCTTGTCTTATTTTTAGAAGAGATTGTTCGTTCATTAGTGGCTTTTGGGCACTAATAGTCTTGAGCACATATATCCTCTTGAAATTAGCCAAAAAGCGATGGATGCTAGCAGGAGATGTGATAATCACAAAAGAGGTATTTGTTAAAGTTGGTGAAAAAACACTGTTGATATCAAATAACAAGATGTTCGACTCAAAGTAGTCCACTTGCTTGTTTATGCTCATTTTTCCTTTGTATGAATCTTTATGTGGTATCTTAAACTTCACTGGGGTTTGGCTTTTGCTATCTTCTTGTAAGATACATTTGTCAACTTGGGCCTCTACCTTTTGACTCGCCTTGGTGGGGAATGAACTCCTCATTATTGTCGGGGTAGTAAGTCTTGTCCAAACCAGATGTAAAGGTTTGTGCTTTAGCTCTTGAGAGATGCCCTTGTATAATTGAATTCAAAGAGCCTTTTGGTGTCTTTACCCTAGGGAATGCTCTAGGAACCCGCTCTGAAGTTCCATGTATCATTCTCGTGTTTCTTTCTTTTATCTCTGTAATCCATTCATTCGCAAAAAAACTCTTAATTTTTCACGTTCAGGGATTTTTCTTTGTTAAGTTGCTCTTATTCTCTTAGTGCTTGGTTTCTAGTTCTTGTGATCAGTTTGCGTTTATCAGCTTGAAAGGATCTTAGTTCCGCATCTGTTCATATAAGTACTTGAATCTTACTTATGAGACTCAAAGGACCTTAGAAAAGCCTCGAGTAAAGAGAAAGAAGAAATGGAAGAAGGAAAGAAATTTCGAAGGATTTTATTTTCATGCTAGAAGCTAACAATGTTATCTTATGTCTAGGGGTGTCAATTCAAGTTCATGGGTCAGGTTAGTGTTTGACCTGAAATGGTTTCGACCCAAATATTAAATGGGTCGGGAAGTCTAATTCAAACCCGACTCACTTCAAACCGACTTACTCGAGCTGACCCGCATAACTTATTTAATAGATGCATAATAGTTATTTGGGTCATATTCTAGTTAATTTAGAGTCAATTTTGGATCAAATTCGAGTTGTCGAGTCATATTCAGGTCAATTTTTAGTTGATTGGTCAGTTTTGTGTTAATTTTGGGTTGGCGGGTAATCTAGAACCTCATATCAAAAAAATTAAATGTGTTGGGTTTTAGACTTGAGCTTGATTTGAAAATTTATTGGATCAACTTGAACTGAAGATTTTTCAAGTTGGGTTTAAGTCGAGTTGACGTGTCAGGTCAATTTTTGACACCTCTATCTGCGCCCTTTATAAATAATGACCCTTTGACTGATATTTGTATGATTTTTTTTAGCGCTACAAGAGAAACAATACTTCAATGTAATAATATAAATAAATAAATAAATACATAAAGGGCACAAATAGGGAATGAAGAACACAATATATAGGACAGGGGTAGAAGAGATCCTTTCCTTGGCTTGAACCACGACCTGATACTAAGGATGACCTCGTTTCCAAAAAATATGCTGGTATATGAATGAGCTTGATTTGAAAATTTATTGGATCAACTTGAACTGAAGATTTTTCAAGTTGGGTTTAAGTCGAGTTGACGTGTCAGGTCAATTTTTGACACCTGTATCTGCGCCCTTTATAAATAATGACCCTTTGACTGATATTTATATGATTTTTTTTAGCGCTACAAGAGAAACTATACTTCAATGTAATAATATAAATAAATAAATAAAGGGCACAAATAGGGAATGAAGAAGACAATATATAGGACAGGGGTAGAAGAGATCCTTTCCTTGGCTTGAACCACGACCTGATACTAAGGATGACCTCGTTTCCAAAAAATATGCTGGTATATGAATGTTATAAACATGTGGATTTAGCTATCAGAATTTTAGGAAGTAGACATGGACCATTGCTTTTGCGAATACTTCACAAATTTAACCAATTGAATATGTGGAGTCATTGTCTAACTAGATGGATTTTTTCTATGCTTTAGGTGAGCACCTTTTGAGCTGGGACGAGAGTAACTTTGAGAACAGTGTACAGTGATTCCTGGTGAATTAATCTGGTATTCTTGGTTTTACTCTGAAGTGTATATTTGTGCATAAGTCAAAATTTTTTTTATAGTATTGGTGTATAATATAATAGGTGTAACTATTATTTTAGATAGAGATGATTTATGTTCTTATAAATGGGGATATTCTTCACTTGTTTCATTTTTGTATTTTCATGAAGCATGTGTTCAAAAAATTGGCACGAAGAGATTTTTCTTGGATTTTGAAGGAAGTTTGACCTTGACCCAGCCTTCCTCGTTCATCCCTTTATTTTCTGCAGCTCATGTCCGATCATGCCTGCATACCAATTGCTTATGTGCAACTTGCATTCCACTCGCTCTTAGCTTTCCATAGTTTTGCTTCTGGCATCTGCTTCCTGCATTTGCTTTGTACACTCCTCATGCCAGCATGTCACCATGCTTCATGTATTTCTCAGCTATGCTCGCATTCCTAGTACTTGTGTTTGTATATCTTTCTCATGACTGGTTCTGCTTGCTGACATGCTTTCTCTTTTACAACATAGTTTCGTTCTCTTAGGCCTTATTGGAAGGAGTTTTTTTAGTGCTTTCCATTTTGCAGAAAGTTAGAAAGTCATTTTATTTTTTTCTGTAATACTTTCATAAAGCGCTTTTAAAGAAATCCATTTCTTTCATAAGTTTGCTATTTATCTTTAGCTTTAGGCTTCTTTTGGCTGAGCTTCTGTTTGTGCAAAAGTTTGTTTTGAAGTTATTTATTGAGAGTCTGTGCTTTAAAGCTATTGGGAAACAATCTGATTTTTTTAAAAAGGGCTTTTATAAAAGTATTAAAATCAAACAAAAAATAAATGATTTCTAACTTTTTTGTAAAATGAAAAGCACTAAAAAATCTCATTTGAATGAGGCCCTAGAGCATCTTTTCAAAAAACGCATTTTGGACAAACCTTTGTAAAGAACTGAAGCTCTGCCAAATGAAGCCTTAGAGCATGACATCTTTATAAATTTTCCACTCACATTCTTCTCCTCATCATTTCAAAAAAAATATCATGGTACCCCTTTTTCGATTAATCAATGATCATTTCTACGCATCAATACCAATATAAGATTCAATTGTATCAACTATCCCCTACATTCAGTTATCACGACAAATTTTGTGCCCTTCATCTCTCTCCTCCAAGTAGTGATGGCACCATGAAGTTCTTCAAGTGACTAGCATCTTATTGCGTTGTTCTTACCCAATTACTTAGAAATCTACAACCATCTATTGACTTAGTTATATGTTTCTTGATTTAGTCAAAAGATAGATAGTTTTCATTGATCCACATATTTTCATGAAGTAGTGTTTCACAAGTGAATGCTCTATACTTTAACATATATTCTTTCAATCAAAATGACATCACAATTAAGAGTATTGTATTGCACTTAGAGGGAAACAAAACGAGTTATTTCATTATAAAACCTTCACCATTGATCTGACTATTTGGCAAAATCACATTGAATGTTTATTTGTCTCCAGTTTTATACTCGTCATGAATCCTTCTTTATAAGGTGTATTATCTCAATTGATGGCAAACTCTATGGTTCCTAACATTGTTATTGCTCTCTCTCAGGTTATTCAAATCATAGAACTGCCTACTATCGACCAATCTATTTTGGTTGCTTACTCCTAGAGTGGTTGCGGGACTTGTAGCTGGTGGTCATTCTAATGGCTGTTTATCACACGCTCTCATTGCAGCCACACTAGCTATCCTCTAGAATGCTGTTGGGAGAACTTTAGTTATCTTTCCATTGTTCAACATACTTCTACAACCAATCTAAAATTATTTACTTCTTTTGTTGCCCCATCATTGAGATCAGTTTCTCTCAATGAAGCTTTGTGAATCCTTCAATAATGGCAGCAACTCATGATTTCTCTTCCTCTAGATCCATTGCAGGCATGCAATTGTCTTTACCGGTAACCACAAACTCTTTATTTTTATTAACACTACTTGTTTTTTTCCTTTTTGTTTGCAGTTGATGGTTCCCATTCCACTATCTATGGAAAAGCATTGTGAATCCCTTTTGAATTGTTTCTCTCTTAGATATTTATGTGTCTTGTACATTCATGGCCTATAAAGACTCATTTTTATTACGCAATCTTCTTTCTATCTCTCATTATGCCTTTTATGATGTAAGCTCAAAGAAGTTGATTGGTGGAGGTTTTGAAGCTAGTGGAGTATACTACCAAATGACAAATGTTTTTTGTTCCCTCTTCTTCATAGGTATTCCTTTCACTAACAATATTGGTGGAGGTTTTGAGATTGTCTTTTTTTCATCATCTTTGCTCATATTCGATTGTCATCCTACAAGTTTGGTAAACATCATCGTTTGTCCTTTCTATCTTGGATAGCTAGTTATCTTTCTCTTTCCTTTGATTTAGTTCACCTAAACATTTAAGTTCCTAATACTATCTTTACTCATAGAGGATTATTCTACTTTATCACATTCATTGATGATTTTTTGGATGTTACTTTGCTTTACTTATTCAAATATTTGCTTATAGATTACTCATGTATTTCAAAATTTCTATAAAAAAATATAGCATCAATTTTCCATCTTAATCAAACTTTATTCATTAATAATACTTTCAAATTCATCCAATCTTAGTTTCACACTTTCTGGTTTGCTAATGGTATTATTCATCAGAGTTCATACCTTCTACACATCTTAACATAATGGTTTTGTTGAGTGTAAAGGCCACCACTTTCTTGATGTTATGAGGATTTTAATGCTTCATATGAATGTCCGTTGTCAATTTTGGGGAAATGTTACTTTGACAAAATACAATCCCTTCTATTCTCGACAACATCTCATCCATCTCCACTCTTTATGAAGGTCAAGTTGTTTCCCCCATTTAATAAATATTTTTTATTTTTATTTATTTTGTTTTTACATTGCGTTTGCTTGACACTCATCTTGTGTTATTCGATGTATTTTTTTAATATTCTCACACCTCAAAAAGGTTTTCGATGCTACGATCCCATTTTTATAAGGCCACACTTTTATTTTATTCTTCATACACTTTTGAGTCATCCTCAGTGACCGTTCCTCTATTTTTGTAAGCTCCTCTATCTCCCTCCACGACAAAACCTTCCACCAGATTTTTAGCTTCAATTGCACATTCACCTGTTGATTAGCATTCTTATCTACTTTTACCAATCTTTTTAATGAAAGATTAAAGACGATGTCTTATTGATCCCATTCACTCATATATGTCATTTGATAATTTATCAACTTTATTCCATATATTTGCTTTGTTATTATTATATGCATATTTTCTCAGGACTTACCAAAATGTCCATAGAATCTGGAAACACACTTAAAATGGTTTTTCTTCTCTTTCATATTTCACAGGATTTGATTGTTTATTCTTCCTATGGTCAAACCATTGTTCGTCGTTCATACTGATGTCTTGATCAGTCTCTGCAAAGCTTGATTTCTTGCTAGAGGATTTACCTTGGTATATAAGATATACTATTTTTACACCACGTCCCTAGTTGTCTGAATTAACTCCATCAATATTTTGTGGCCATCATTCAATAATGGATTATGTTATAAATGGATGTGAGTATTGTCTTCATTAATAGTGATCTATAAGAGGCATTTTATATGCAGTAACCTTTAGCGCATGTTGATTGGAGGAAGATTTTTATTTGCCTATTTATTAAGGCTATTTATGAACTTTAATTCGATCTGCAAACTTGGTTTGATAAAAATTGTAGTCTTAATTGAGATTAGTCTTTATATTAGTCTTATTTGAAACCCCAAACATTGCTGGCTGTTGCTCAACCCACACCTTCGTCTGCTTTGGTTCGTGCACGTCAGTGGGCTCACGTCGATTGTCTTCCATACTCAATGCTCAGCTCGTACACACTTCACGTCACTAGATCGACTTCTGTATTCTCTGATTGCTCATCTCTGCACATTATTGCTTGTCTCCCTCACACGAACTCAGCATGACACCCTACTCAAAATCAAATTGCTCGCCACTTATTACCCATTTGTATGTTCACATCTCGCTAACCTCTCTTCGTCTCCTAATTGATGGGATCGTCTTGTCGGTCATGTCGAATCGATGTAGTCAATTCAAATTAGTCTATAATTATTATTATAAGTCTGTCAAATCGATGAAGTCAATTTGAATTAGTTTATTATTATTATTTTGGTTATTACAATCTGATCACCAAAAAGTTAATAAACAAATTGTGGCTAATTAATGCTGAAGCTGAATAGAAAGCTACAACTCACTTTGCGTGTGAAAATATGTGAATAAAAATTCTTCTATAACCTTTACTTAGCCTATTACACTATATTGTGATAAATATATTGCAGTTCCTATTACACTATATTGTGATAATTATATTGCAGTTCCTATTACACTATATTGTGATAATTATATTGCAGTTCCTATTACACTATATTGTGATAATTATATTGCAGTTAAATTGCCAATAATTTTATCTATTTATGAACGAACTAAATATGTTGAAGTTGTTCGTCATTTCATAGAAATGTGATTTCATAGAACTTGTTAATTTAGTTTCTTGTTCAGAATGAATAGGGGATATCGATATCAAAGTTGTGGTCACCTTCTTGTTTTCTTCTTAACTCTCGTGCATGCCGACACAAGTCCAAATATTTAGTCCATAAGATATTAAATGGGTTTCCCTCTAATATACACATCCAAAACAATTTAACAATTGGTCTGAAAATCAAGATTATGAGGTTAAACATACTTTGACACAAATGGAGGGATATGCGTATGTCTTACGAAATCTATATATTCAACGGCTATTGCTCATTTTTCCTTTTTCGAATGTGTGCGAGTCCATTTTCTCTACTCAATGGCTTCCATTCAGAATATGCTTCCACCTTTTAACTTGTTTTTTCAAGTTTGGCACAACTAATAGTGTAGCTACCTTTTGCTGGGTGTTTCTTGCATAATTCTTTTATATTTTCATACCTTACAATTCATCAAAGTTGAATCGAGTTTTTTTAAATTTGTTTTTCTTTGACAAAAAAGATCGTAGGTCCTCCAGATTTTCTGGGAACATTACTCCGGTAAACCCCAAACCTGTTAAGCGGCACGTTACGTAGAGATATCGATCCTTATTCTCAATGTCGCTGCGCCTGCGTGTTACCATGTGGACAAGACTACATGCTTTGCACAAAAGAAATACATGGCTTAAGACAGTCAATGAGGCTACTCTTCAAGTTCATACTTTCAAAGATACTCATAAGACAAAGATGGCAACCTAAGTTAACTGTATTCATCAGAAGGAAGCTTTCATAGATAGGAAAGTGCATTTTCAGAAAAAAGATGTATTGCGGCATATATAAATTTTTTATGTGAAATTTGACAATGATCTCCTAGACAGAAGATTATAAGCTGTTGATCTCCCGAGTTTTATGAAACTTTGATAGCCTAGAATTGATAATAAGGCAGCCCTGTAAGATACAGAAGGATAAGAAGGAGATATTATATAGTAGCTCCTAATGTTTTGTAGGAATACGTGTTTGATTAGTTTGTTATGCTTATTATAAATTTGAATTCTCTTCTGCAAAATGCGTTTGGCGAAAAAAGACATGATTGCCCTTCTTGTACAGAATTAAGCTTCCTGATTAATGCCCCCCTTAACCATTGTTTATCAGATTATTTGATGAGATGTTAAATATTTGATCTTGTTGCTACCTTCTAAGCCCTTTTTTTTGAAAAAAAAAACCTGTTTTCGTGATTTCCAGGCTTTGTCACTTGGCTTTGTGAGTGTTTCTGCATGTCTTATGTGGATAAAGCCATGTCTGGTCGAAGCCCATCCCCAAATATAAAAATTCCCGAAATAACTTGCCCCAGTGGAGCCATGTCTGTCACTTCTTCCATTGAACCGACTCCCTTGCCAGCAGTACAAGGTGAGAATTTACATGGGCCTGTTGCCATTCTTTGGGACATCGAAAACTGTCCAGTTCCCAGCGATGTTAGACCTGAAGATGTTGCTGGCAACATTCGTCTGGCATTGAGAGCACACCCTTTGATCAAAGGAGCTGTGACAATGTTTTCCGCATACGGGGACTTCAATTCCTTTCCTCGTAGGCTAAGAGAGGGATGCCAAAGGACTGGCGTTAAGCTTGTCGATGTGCCAAATGGTAGAAAAGATGCTGCTCACAAGGCTATTTTGGTTGATACATTCCTACTTGCCCTCGACAATCATCCACCTTCTTCAATTATGTTGATCTCCGGGGATGTGGATTTCGCTCCTGCTTTGCATATACTGGGACAACGTGGTTACATGGTGATTCTTGTCATCCCTTCTAAAGTTTTTGTCTCATCCGCTTTGTGCAGTGCTGGCAGGTACGTATGGGACTGGTCGTGCATTGCCCATGGAGAAGGTTTTGTCTCTTCGAGAACTGGTTTAACGCGGGGATCCGAGCTTTCCGGCTATCTTATGGGTAACAATTTTGATGACTGCCATGATGTTCAGATTGAAGAAGAAGCCATTGTTTATAAAGGAAGTTACAATTCCAGTAACACTAGGGACCTGTCTGTGGTATCCCAGACGTCCTCTGAATACAATATTAATTATTCAATGCCTGCAGCATTCCTTTCCTCCTCAAAGTTTCAAGGCCAACCTTCTAGAATGAATGAAGCTTCTTCAAGGGATCAGAGCTGCAGGGCACAAGCCAGTTGGGTACAGCCAGGTGATATTCAAGGCTTAAAGGGCCAGCTAGTGAAGCTGCTAGAGACCTCTGGCGGAAGTTTGCCCCTCGTTAGAGTTCCATCGGAGTATCTTAGGAGCTACGGAAGGCCGCTCTACATGTCGGAGTACGGAGTATTCAAGCTGGTGCATCTTGTGGAAAAGATGGCTGATACCTTGAGCTTGGTGGGAAGGGGACATAAAAAGTTTCTCTGCCTTCGCAGCTCAGATAGATATGTTAAGAAGTTTGATAACATACCTATAATTTTGAAGAGAAATAAGAATGATAAAGGCGTAGTAGGGGAATCTTCCGATATTGGTATCAGCCCTAATACAGGAAGCTCTTCGGATGACTCATCGGACGAGGAAAGGAATGCTGATGCTGGGTGTGAGTATGATGGCCTTCTTGAAGGTTTCAGGCGCGAAATACAAGAGATTCTTGTATGCTACTCTTGTCCGGTCCCCTTAGATTGCTTTGAAGTTCTGTATCAACAGCGCTACAAAAAAATTGTTGATTATCAGAAGTTTGGATCTGAAGGGCTGGAGGAACTGGTTGAGAAGGTAAGGGATGTAGTGAAATTGTGTGAAGATCAATGGAGTAAGAAGAAATTCCTCATCTCCAGCATTGTAAGTGGGTAGACTGTTTTATTTGTGGTTTTATAAGTTTCTCATAATTTTTACCATCCCTTGTGTTGAATGGGTTCTTTTTATTGAGTTCACAGCTATGACAGAAATGACAGCTTTTTTCTACTGTTCATATGGTCTGTGGTGGCTTGGGAGTGACTTGTAACCTTTCTTGATGTCAGCACGTAGTTTGTGAAATAAAATTTTACCTAATAACATAGATGTGGTGGCAAGCTTTCATAACATTTCTCATCATCTTTCTTTAAAATTGGATGTGTAGGGTTAATTTAGCTTGGGTTAAGCAAGCTTTTATTTTAAGGTGCATTCGTGGCAGCTTTTTCGCCGCTTTGTTTTTCAGACCATCACCACATTTTTTTATTTTGTTATAATTTTCTTGCTGCTTTTGAAAATTTGATAAGCAGCAGCTTTTTACAACTAGATCACCTCGAGTATAATAAATGTAAGAAAACTATTATGATTTAAAAAAAAGATCTCCACATCAACTTCTTAAAATTCTATTTTTAACGATAACAATTTTACAGCTTTTTTTACTATCAGCTACAGCTGAAATTTCTTGCAATCTGCCCCAACTAGATACAATTTTTTTAGGTTGTTTAACTTGCTTTAATACTAGAGGGTTAATGATAATATTAACTTTGGTTAGTGACCATGTTAAGTTTAAAGCTGCAAGCAAAAGATGAAAAGTCATTGAAACGTTTAAGAAATACTTCAACCTCTTCACATGCCCTTCTAAACTTTGGTTGTATATATGAAAATAACTGAAGTCGTTTTATGTAAGAAGCAGATCTCATCTAACCCATCAGCTATTGAGAAAGATCAAAGATTTGAAGAAAATAAAACAAAAAACAGACATCCATGACTGCAGAGAATTTCTCAACATTCAAGAGGCACTAAAGCCATGGTAGGCTCTTATTTCCCTGCAAATTTTGTTTCATGGAGCCTCAGCATCTTTTATTTCCCTAGAAGATGACAGACACACTAGTTTTTACTCCCTAACTTTTATGTTGAGCTCTTCAATATCATCACTCAAGACATCCAAAGCTTTCCTTTTGCTTGCAGGTTTGAAGGGACTGCCAAATGTAGCTTAGATGACAGATTGAGAACCAGAACAGAAGAATTAAATCAATGAAATCTGTGAGTGCTTCTTTTCTTTCTGCTCTTTGATCTATAGTGTTGAAAGCTATTTTCAACTTTTATTCTGTGAAGCAGGCCCTCACCAATTTCTTTTCTTATTCATAGAATAAGAAAACTATTACTCTAAAACACATCTATCTCAGCTTTTTAAACTGCCATTGATGAAGCTTTCACACCGTCTGTTAAGATTAGCCCTTTCATTTTATGTGCTGCCCTAGGTTTTCAGATTATCATAACCCTTAATGAGTTGCTTGATAGATATCATATATCTGTGAATGTCTAAGGGGCTATTTAGTTTGATGTTTTTGAAAACATATAAATTTAAGGGATGTAGAGTAATTGAAATACATACATTTTAGAAATGTGAGTTTTGTTGGATGCAAATCAAATGAATTGAACTTTTCTTCTTGTTATGGTAACTGTCGAATGCATTAAAATACTGTTATAGCAGTGGCAGACAAGAAATATGAGCAGTCATAATGCTGGATTTGGAAATCGACTGATTTGGACAATTTTTATATGAAGGAACATGAGAGTTTTGACGTATGTTAAATTCCTCAAAACTAAACTTCACATTTTCATTGCATTAAACCAAATGCTGAAAATGTTAGAATGCAGGAAAAATGAAAACACTTGTCAACACTTTGAACCAAAACATTCCTTAACCAATTTATTTAGATTGATTGTTCAAGTACAAAGATTTAAGATGAAATGACATATTTACCTTTGTTAAGTCCTTGTCTATTTGAACTGCCATTATGTGCTCGGTTGATCGGCTCACCTACCAGTTTAGGCATGGCTGTAGCTTGTAAGAATGGTTTTCTGATGGCATCAAAGGGTAGGATGAGTAATAGAGCTGGGAGTATTCATTTTGGAAATTATTAAAAAAAAAAAAGAAGAAATTGTGAATTTCACCCTAGTGTTTGTTTTATTAATGCTTTTTTTTTGGGGTAAATTCATAGCTGGTATTTCTGGGTAGGTCATATGGGCGTTAATAATAAAAGTCAGATAATAATAAAAGTCAGATAAATGAAGTCTATTTTTAAGTTAGAAACTATTTTTAAGTTAGAAATCATGGGAAATTGAAAGTTTTATCCCGCAAATGGGATTCAAAACCCCTCCTTACAAGAACCAAAAACTTAAATTTTTTTTTCCATTTCTGATACAGTTTGATTTTCTTTTTCTTCCAAATTCCTATCTTTTTTTAATATGGAAGACTTTCTGTAATTTTAAAAACTAGCCTTTAAGCCATAATGATACTAATGAAATACCCTAATGGATTCAGATTTTATCCAATAATTCTCATATAAAATCATAAATTTATCTCTTTAAAATAAGTAATGCTATTGTAAAAACTAATTGATGTAAATATTAATTTAAATTCAATGTACAATCTAGAAAAAGGAAATCTCAAACTTTACTACTCTGAATGGGCTAGCTTCCAAAGTTCATCTCCCTCAAAACCAGCTCTTTAAGAACATCTGTAATTAAAATGTGTATTAATTCGTACTCCTCCTGTCTGAATAGTAAAATATAAGCACGTTTATGGCCAGTTTTTGCTGCTATTGGTAAGCAATATGACATTAAGGTTTGGCAAATTAATGGATTAAAGGTGAGTATTATATTTTTTAAATTTATATTCTTATTTTCTTATTCAGCTGTAGTATAGCTGAAGTTTGAAGTTAATTAAGCTTATCTATTAGCTTCCACACCTGTTTAGTTTTAATGATTTAAACATAGTCTTATTACTAATAATAAATGTATTCACAGTTTTTTAAATTGATCATAATCAAATTGGTATTATTTTTAATGTTTTGTGTAATGAAAATTAATATTTTAAATTCAATCCATTTTGAATTTTTTTCAATATTTTTATTATTAATTTTTTGTTTAAAAATAAATTAAAATTTAAAATGTTCATATAGTGTTTTTAATATTTGTAATCAAATATTAATAAAATTAAAATAAAAAATTTAATTGACCTATCTAATTCTTTGTTCAGTATTTTGATTATATATATACTTCTATTAATGTGATCATATGTATCTATTAATATGATAACTTTTGAAGTAAATATAACAAATGAAAACTGATATAATAGCCTAGAATAGGTTATAAAAATAAATAATTGATTAAAATATCATCAAATAAATAATTTATAGAGCTGTTTATTAAACATCAAATGTGTATGTTCATGAACAGAAATGAATAAGTTGATAAATATTTGAGTTTTAGTTTATATGCTTATTTTTAAAAAATTATTCAATTATGTTCAATGATCGAAAGAGATAAGCATAAGTGAGCTTTAAATAAAAGAGGATCTTATATTATATATTCAAACTTTTTGAAAACCTAAAAAATCGTTCAAACCTATTATTTAAGTTTTAATTTATACGCTTGCTTTAAAATTTGTTCAAAACTCGGTTGGAATATGAAATTCTATTTTCAGTTTGAATCGTATTTGAACATAATTTAAACTTGATTTGTCGAATCTACAGTTTGACAAAATAATGTTGCTAGGATAGTGATGCATTCACGAGCTGTTTGGAGGTTGTGATTAGGGGTGTAAACAAACCGAACACGAACAAACAGAGCATGTGTTCGTGTTCGGTTCGTTTAAAATTTAGTTTGTTTGAAATAAGCTCGTGTTCAAAATTGTTCATGAAGTCACTGTTCGTGTTCGTTTCTTAACGAACGAGCCGAACACGAGCCGTTCGCAAACAACGAACTTTTTTTAACCGCGCTAAGGAGGATTGATGCTATATTAGTATATTACTAATATAGTATATTAATATATTATTATTATTATTTTATTATATATTATAATTTATAAAATTTAATTTTTCTAAATATCATAAATTTTTTATATATAATTATTTTAAATTTTTTTATATTTCGAACAATAACGATTCAAACACGAACGAACGAATCACTATTCGTGTTTGATTCGTTTAACTAACCAAACAAAAAAATTTGTTCACGTTCGTCTCGTTTACTTATCGAACGAATCGAACATGAACTCATCGACGAACTGAACACGAACTGTTCGCGAACAATGAGGTTTTTTGACAGCCTTAGTTGTGATGCAATTCTTACATTTTGTAGTGCATTCTTATTATAAATTTATATCATATAATTCCTTTTTCATGTTTTTCCAAATATTGACAGTAACAATTGTTGCATGCTGTTAAAGAATTCCATATATTTCATAAGATTTAAGGTACTCTGGTTGCTATACAAACTGTTGTAAAGCTTGTATGTTGCTTCTTTGATGAAGGAGAACGATATATTTCATAAGCACATGTTTTTTTTTCTTGCAAACTTGTTGTAGAAACTGTCAGCTTAAAAGGTTTGATTATATTGTAAGTTCAATTTTTACTTATTTTTTATTAAATTTTATCTATATATAAATCTTGAACTCGTTTATTAGAAATGAAATGGGAAGATCTAGTTCAATTTTCTAAGTTTATGCTCTGAATTCTAACTGTTCCTGATCCTTAGGAAAATTTAAGAGAAGCTTTGTTTGTTAGGCTTAATTAATAACTTCTGAGGTAATGACTTCATTCAGTCTTTGAATAAATACACATTCTTGCTGGCAAAAAATCTAAGCTTTTTGTTGACTTGTCCACCTAAAGATAACACAATCCTACTCTCATCAACCAAAAGTGTCATTTTCAATTTTTGTCAAGGATCCAATTTGCAGAGTCTGTATGAAAGGATCTTGTGCATGGCGTGGGTCAGAATCTATGCTGAGTTATTATTCTCTTATGAAACAAAAACTACCAGGCACTGATTGCTTATGAACATATTCTTCATTTTGCAGCAAAATGCTGCATTCAAAACTCCATATAAAAACAAAGAGTTCGAGTAAGGCACTCTCAGAAGTGACTAGCTCAACAACGCAAAGGGCTCGAGCTCAATGTGCAGAGGTGAAAACTCCATTTCTTCAATCAGCAAGACTGGCACTCACTAAGATAGCACTCTATATGCACTTGCCAAACTTTTTTGATCATTATAGCTCCATATTTGCAATGACTATATCAAACATTTATTTTTTCACAATAAAATGCCTTGTTCTGCTAAAGAAAGCTTATAAATATGAAATTAAACGTTAACTGTTTTTTTAGAATATTTTAATTCAAATTTAATTGGAATAAAATTAGAACATTTGAAAAGATTGTTGGCATTGACTTATTTTGTCAATGAATGCATGAAAGTTGGTTGAATTGTTATTGAATTAGTCTGTCTAGATCTTTCACTCCTATTATGTGCGAAGTGTAGAAGTAAACAAACGGGAGGGGGTGGTCAATATTGTTCGTCACTTTCTCAACCAAATAGCTGCGATATCTTGAAACGCTTGTACGTGCATGCAAAATTTTAATTTTACGAGTTAGGCATTTTGTATTTTCCAGTGCTCTCTTCTGCCTATTGGAGTACATAAAATTGCAAAGTTACCGCCAATTTCATCCCCAATTTTGCCATTGACGAGATACCTGCTTACAACGTGCGCATCGCTCCACGCATCATTAGCCAACTATTCTCATATGAGCCTTTTCCACCATTAGTATTGCAGCATGAGGTTGCTCCCTCCTACAGGAACATCTTTATGTAAAACAATGTCTGAAGCTAGGTTAAGGAGGAGGGAAGAAGAGCTTGTAGGGAGAAAGAATCGAAGAATGTAAAAGTGTGTGAAGTACTCTGGGTAGCTTTGATTTTAATTTATGCTTTAGTATAGTCTTTTATTACTTGGTATCAGATCAACAGTTTCACAACAACTGGTTCATGGACTCTCCAAGCTCAACTACAATTAGATTAAATTAACCTTCAACAATGTTGATAAACAGGATGAAAGAAATCAACATACCAGCTCCTCTGAAATTCTTGATGTAACTTATTAAGACTGTATCTACATCACCCCAACAATTCAACAATTATCAGACATGGAAAACACAAATACACAAATTGTTCC